AGAAATTTTTCGAATACTTGATTTTCAGCTCTTACTCCACCTAGCTGTATTAACTCATTAGAAGCCAATATCTTTGTTCAGGTAGACATTTCACAAGTAGATAACTATTCCAAATTGCGTCAAACGGTGAGTACTGGTTCAAAACAAACCATGTAAATGATTAAATTGCAGTTGAGCGATTTTCTCGGAATAATTCGTAATGATTTTAATACTAAGCCAGACACATCAACCAGTTGTGATGCCAATACTACTAACTATCAATGGACAAGTCGTGATGAAATGAATACCTTTTTTTTAATATTACGATTTCAGACAAAGCCGGCATCAGCTCTGTTCTTGTTTATGATAAGTACTATTACAATCCACAAATAATATCATTCTGTGCAACTTCTGATAAAACATTGCGTCAAAAGATGTTAACTACTAAGAGTGGTACTACACCTCAATGGGACACGTTCGCTTTACTTTTCTATTCTATCTTAATGATTAATTCTGAAGGGTTATGAACATTGCCGAATCTTATTACAACCTTACATGCAACTGCTATCGATTGAATGAGAAAAACGTAAAACATATAACTATATGGATACCGATGAAAGAGTAAGTGACTTTTCAATGATATTCCAATGATTCTACTGATTAGCTCGACAATCACTGTAGATGACAGTCGTAATTCTAATTATTACCATCTGATTATGCCGTATAATTTCGACTTACAGGTTTGAATGAGAAACTCATGGAAAAATGTTTTATTTTATTCAATTGCAGTCCGAATCAATGTTTTATAAGTTGGCACAGGGATCACTGACCAAACTTGGATCCCCTAAAGCAAACACTAATATAAAAGTTGAAGATTTATTCATTAAAAAGTGGACAAGTGAAGACACAGCTGAAACATTAAGAGATAACGTCTATGCGAAACTAAAAGAGTAAGCACACAATAGAACACAATGGGAGAGAACGAAAATGGATAATTCATCTTTTCAGACTCTTCCTTACTAATTGCTGAGCAAATTGATGTTCATGAGCATCATGAGCAAAAATCAATCAAAAGTTATGCATGTTTCATATCTGTTTGCTAATGATTGAATCATTATTGAGAAATTCTAAAAATAAATTGTAATGTTATATAGCTATGCATGTCTCTCATTTGCACGTTCTTTAACTCTTTTTGTTTGTTTGTTTTTTTGGTTTCATTCAATAATCACGCATGTCACATAAAACGCTATTCACAACTACATGACTAGCTTTTCCTATGCAATAATCAAAGCGGGGCAAGTTAGCACATGCCGCTCCATACTTCCCGTTCATCGAAGCCACAACGATTGCTCCTGCAATATATAAGAGTTAGCTGTTAGATAATATTGAAGTTGAAGAATATTATAAAACGTTTCTGTGTACCTTGAAACGTTGGATAGTATTCTAATATACGGTCTAATGACTTTTTAGCTGCATATCGTGGGCTATGTCCATTCCGCATGAACTCCACCGCTTGATAACTAATAGCATGGAGAAAAATGCAAAATCAATAGTTATCTAATAATGGTATACCTGGGTAGAAATCTCATCATTATATCTCCATCACCAGTAGCAGCGGCACCTCCTATTCTATGAACTGCATAAGCTCCTGCGCCAACAATAGGTGAATCGCCTACACGTCCGGGAATCTGTTTGCAAAAAAAATATTCATTAACATAAGTGAGGAATCACTTTATGAGTTGCTCCATTTGTTGACGTGCCCGCTGAAACACTCTCTTCGTCAACAACAACCATACCAATAGTGTCATGATGATAACTGAATTATTATATTATTGCACGTCATAAGTATTATTATTGCAATTGCCAAAAAAAAATATTTCTGATTGAGGCAATTTTTTCAATTATTTGTACGCTCCAATCACTTCTTAACCAAAAACCAATTCATTCTTGTGAACGATACTCTCAACAACTCTTTTTTCTTCTTCTTCATCTTCTACTTTTCTCTCTATTCATCAGTTCTTTTTCTTCACTAGCCATCATCATTATCAGTTTTTAGAGTGACGCAAGCAACTCTAATTGCTAGTCACGTCATTGAGCTTTTGACTAAACTTCACCAATTGAATTATATGCTCATTCTTATATATAAACATTATTTTTTGTATGAACATTTCATGGCGATTTCCTGAAATTCGATTCACGCCTACTTACTTTTAATTTTCGTCTTTCAAATAATAGGCATTATTTCGCATATACCTGCCGCTCCATAATTAATTCTCAGCTCTCTCTTTCTCTCTTTCTCTCTCTCTCTCTCTCTAGATTTCTATTTTTTTTCTTTCGCAAAAATATTTTGAAAACTGCCCCACTTATCAATTTTTTGCTTCTTTTCCTTCATTCTTCTGCTCATTTTATCATCCAAATTGCTTCTGATTGCTGTATATGGACCGCAAAATAAGTTTGGATCCGGTGTTACATTCTAAATTACTTTATTTTAGAAAAGATAAAAGCTGTTCTGAACGTCTCTACTGTAACGACAGAGTAAGATGATTTAGTTAATATTAAACCTTCCAAAAGTTTGGCTGACAATTGTTTGCCATCCAGTTTGTATACAGTGCATCGGAAATGTTAGTTCTGACTATCTCCTTCTTGAAACCCATTTTGACAGCAAAGTTTCGAGCTGTAAAGCGGAAACATTATCTGAAACGTATTTTTGCTATCGAACCTGCTTGTCCAACAAGCATTGTGTGCTCCGTATAATTCATTATGGCCCATGCTACTCGGGCAGCATCTTTTATATTAGGTAAATGAGCTACTGATGCTACTCGATGTTCAGGCCTTAAACTTTGGTCAGTTAGCTTCAGAATTATATGGCATTTAACCCATCAATTAACATTGCATCCAAGAATACATCACCATTCTCGTCAGGCGAACCACCATAACCAACCGTTCCATCACATTGCTCTTCTTCGCATATAGACAATCCCTCAACTAACGCATTCAAACGTCCAGCGTTTACTAGTTTTAGCGCTTAAGTCAAACACATTAATTTAATTAATAAGCCTTCTCCACATATTTTGTTCTTAGAAAAGAACCTAGAAAGAAGCTTACCAACCTCTCTCAGTTGCATCTTGAAAGCCTTGTGCTCCCCAAGTTGTTATAACAAGAGGAACTCCCCCAGCACTCAACTTAATGAGAAGCAGAATATAGGTGAAGCATTGCATTTCCTATAATTATGGTTATTTTACATAAGCGTGTCATACTACCTATGATATTTCATGAAAAAGCTATTTATAATGTAGTTAATGAGTTATTTCAATTTGTTCTCCATATTCTAGGTTGGTAGTTATCATGTTTCGCTAGAGCTCAATGAGACTCATTCCAAATGTGATCTATTTGTTCAATAATGAAATTATAATTCATTTATGCGCACTGATTAAACTTCTTATCCTGTCTCATATTCTTGAAAAAATTTTGAAATTGCCGAGTTTGAGTTTTCCAACTTCATTAGTTTTTTTTATTTTTAGCCATTAAAAGAATTCGTTAAGTTTAATCAAAATGCCGAAAAAGACTAACAAGAGCAATTAAACGAACGTTCTCAGAATTTAAATTAACTTTCTTAGATATATCTTCTTTTAACTTTTTCAAATTTTTCTCTACTTCACCATTCATTCAAGACGAATAACATTTTGAAAATATGATTTCATCCTGTTTAGACGCTTCTCTTTGATTCTAATTATTCTCTGTAGTATTATGAGAAAAAATATGTTTTTTGTTCCTTCACTCGAGTTGGAACACTCACAGTTGAGAAAGAGATTCCATAGAAAAAATTATTAAAATTGTTTCCGATTTCTTTTATTTGATTCATAGATCACACAAGGTTAGCATAATGCTCTTAGTTGTTGAGAATACGAAGAAGACGAAATAGAATGAAAAAAAGAAATTGTGTGTACACACTGAAAGTCAATGACATATATATTTATTTTGTGCAGTAAATTGGTGCGGTCAGTAGACAAGGTCAATTCTCTATCTTACATATATTGATTTTTAAGATGTGATGCCAAGACAGAAACTTCGATGAATAAGAAAGTGCATGAGATAAAGAGAGAGAGAGAGAGGGTGAGAGAGACTGATAGTGTTCAAGAGAAGAGGTATATCAGATAGAGATAGAGAGAGAGATTGAGAGAGGAAAATAGAGATATAGAAAGCTAGATGCATGAAAAAACTTTTCTTCAATAATCCTTTTCAGAAGCCATAACAAACAATTTATAATAAATTGTTAAGCTTTTTTCATTCTCCCGTCTGATTGGCCATAATCAGTCAATGTTGTTGTTACATCGTATTCAATACTTCATAGTTTATAGTGTGATGCTATGTGTGAACAAACAACATGTGTTTGAAGGTCAATAATTGTATTGGTCTCACAACGATTCAACGCGCATTGTTCCATAACCACGTAGACATATTGCGATGAACTGTTCGCGATCACTATCTACAGCATAGTGTGTTTGTGGTATTGATTGCTATACAATTCGACTGCATGGTTGGCCATTTGTTCACATTGTGTATTACACTAGCTTCTACATTCCATATTTCACTATCAATTATTTTTATTTTTATTTTCATTTCTTTGTTTTGATTCGCAACATCAACTATGTGATATCATAACTGTTGTGCTGTGTTGTTTTGAGAATTTAATTGCTTTCTTTCAGTACTCATCGTATAGAAACATCATGTCGGATCTTTTCAATGGTTTAGCTAACCTTACCAAGCAAGTAACTTCAAACATTTCAACTTATGAAATCCGTAAAATTCGTGAAAAAGTGTAAGTTTTCCAACACTGTACCATCACCAGAAAATTATTGTGATCAAATAATCTTTTTTGTTTAAGTGAAGGTATGGTGCTTAATTATACGGAAGAGGAAACTCTTGTTCGTGAAGCAACTAATGAAGATCCTTGGGGACCAACTGGGCAACAGATGAAAGACATTACTCATTTATCGTTCCAGTCAGTTCAACTTCCGAGTGCAACTTATAAAAAAAAAGCGATTTTAGGTATGATGGATTTTCGAAAGTCATGCCTATGATATGGAAAAGAATGTTTGAAGATAATCGGCAAGCATGGCGTCGTGTTTACAAGGTAACACTAATTTACATGTGTTTCATTTGTAAAAGATAAATGGTTTCAGAGTTTGACGCTATTGGATTATTTACTCCATAATGGAAGTGAAAGAGTTATCGGTAGTTCTAGAGATCATATTTATCAGCTAAGGTAAGTAATGGATAGATGAACGATATGTAAAAGTTATTTTAGAGCACTGGAAAGTTATAAATTCACTGATGAGAAAGGTCGAGATCAAGGAATCAATAGTACGATCATTTTCTATTTCAATAGTAATTGTTTTATTTTTCAGTTCGTCATCGTTGTGCTAAAATTCTGGAACTCCTAAACGATGAAGACAAGTTAAGAAATGAAAGGAAACGTGCGAAGGATGAAAATAAAGAAAAATATCAAGGTTACAACAGTGACGATGTTCGATTGAAAGCGCAAGGTTATCTAAAATTTTTGAAACGAATAATTTTGGTTTCTTATTATAGGAATGTCATTCGGGTCAGATTCCAACTCATCGCCTCGGAGACAAGCATATTCAACTAATGAGTGTGTTTTCTTTTCTTCCTATTACGCTCACAGTTTGTTTTTAGCCGAGACGACTATAGCAACAAAGAAGTGAACTCATTTTCCTTTCCTGAGGATAATCGTCAGAGTTGTGAAGCTGTAAGACATCACTTTCGAAGTTGGGAAGAAAAAAATTCATTTCTAGGTGGAGGAAGAGGATGATTTTGAATCGTTTGCGCAATCTCGTTCAAGTGCTTCTCCTAAGCCTCCTGCTACGAACAAACAAATTGCATTCGGTTCGGACAATCATATTATCCGTTTCTGAGTTATTTTAGGAATACCTTCTCCAACTGTTTCATCATTCAAGATCTCTCCTGTGCCAAGAGAAAGTGAAAAAACGTTTGATTTGCTTGGATTTGACAGTAACACGGATACAGCTAAACCAGCTATTAGTTCTCCAGACAAGCTGCTAGATATTTTCAACTCGGTAATAATAATTTGTTGTAAATGACGCAAATCAATATTTAGACTGGTCAACAGAGCGATATGCAATTTGCTACAATTCCACGACCTCCATCCAATGGCCCTGGCTCAACTCCTGCTGGAAACAAACAATTGACGGTTACAGCACAAGAAGTTGATCTATTGGGTGGATTTAGTTTAAACGAACCAACAGAAAATAACGCCACTACTGGTGCTGGATTCGTAACATCAACTGATAGGTAAACTTTAATGATCGTGTGAAAGAGTAAAAATGAGTTCAGCAACGATTGGTTTGCGTCATCAAAGCCTGCTAATGACGGTTTTGCTGATTTCTCCGCTTTTCAAAGTGCAGGGACCGCGGCTAGTTCATCGTTGTTTGCTCACACACAAGAAACTGGCCTGGCTCCTCAACCGATCGCAGACAGCATCGATTTCACCAATGCTTGGATGAGCGATATGGATAGGGTGAGAGCAAGTAGATGAAAATAAATTAAATGGTATTTCTTGCAGAGAGAGGAGAATAAGCCGGACGACTCGAACAAAGTGTTGGCTAGTCCAGGCGCTCCAAAAGTAGGAAACACATGGACAGGAGCAGATTCGGATTTGTTCAATTTGGACAATTTGGGAATGAAGACGAGTGGCAACGCCAAAACGAATTTGTCATTAAATGAAATGCAGAAAACTAAGAAGTGGTAATGAATCAGATTAATGAGGATTGAAGGCGATTCAATCCGAGACTACTGTGAGACTATTTATCGAAACAAAATGTGATTATGTGAAATGTTTCCAAATACCTATTTGAGAAAATAATTTTATGATTCTTTTCCATTTACAACGATTCCCGCAATAATAATATATTTAAATTATAATTAGGTGGATTTGAAATTATCATACATATACAATAAACCATTTAAACGATCAATCAATATTTAATGTTAATAATCGATAGTCCTTCCGTCCGACTTGCATCGGAATCTTCCAAATTTTACCGTATTCCTCTGAGATTCTCTCCGTATGAAGTATACGTGGTTATGTAGTGTAATCTGATATCTCATGTTTGTTCTGTTCGCCCAGTTCTGTAACTCGCATTTCTTTCTTGAAATGTTCGGAATGTTTAGCTCACCTAATATTTCAAACTCATGTCCTGGAATGTTGTCTTCAGCTTGCAGCTTAGCGTCTAAAACGAATTGATTGAAGTTTACAAATTAAATTCAACGTACTTTTGGCATTCTCCGATTCCTGCTTATTACTTTCTTCCAAATGCTTCATTAGCACAGCCACTACCACGTTTACAAGCACAAATTGTGATATGAGGACAAACACCACAAAGAAGCACGGTGCGAGAATAGGGTCGACGCAGCAATTGAACTTGCAGTGCTCTGATGTATCACAGTCGTCGCGTAAGGCATCCTAAGAACCACTTCATGCATACAGCTTTTAATGGAAGCACTTGCCTTCATTATTCCATTCCAGTTGTCCCCAGTAGCTATTCGGAATAACGTAAGAAAAGCCATTCCGAAATTTTTGAAATGAGCATGTTCTCCCAATCCATCGCATGGATGTTGTTCTGAGCATTCTTCAAACAAAGTGATTCAATTTACAAACATCTCTCTGATTACAAACCTATTTTACCAAAAAGCTCAACTCCAAGAGCAGCAAAAATGAAAAAAAGTAAAAAAAAAAGAGATCCCAGATTTCCGACCTACAATATAAGATTACAGATTTTTCAATATTATGAACAGACCTGAGGTAGAGCTTCTCCTACAGTATCTAATAAATACCTTATACCTTTTGCCATTTTCAACAATTTCAAGACTGAAGCGGAAAAGAAATTAAAACAGTTCTATCACTGCTTACCTCGAGCGATCCTCAAAACCCTCATAACTCTTATTATAGTAGGATTGACTGGTAACTCTAACGCTTCAAACTCTTCGAAAATGATACCAGCGATTGATAAGAGAACAATAAAAATATCTAACTGATTCCACCTGAGAAAAAGGAATCAATTTTCTACATTATATGCATCGATTTTACCTTTCTCTCATGAAGTTTCTGAAACCAAGTGAATATATTTTGAGAGCAGTTTCGAATGTGAAAACAGCTGTGAAGAAATAGTTCAAAGCTTTCAAAACATATTTAAGCCCTACAGGCATCATATAGAATTCAATAGCCATTGAGATAATATTAATTCCTTTAACAAACCAATATAAGGTAATATCGAGTTATAACGTACCTATAACAGCTGATATAGCTAAATCGAAGTATTTGGAGGTGACAATGCTATGAAGAAACAAGCGAGTTGGACCATAGTTCTGCCAGTAACGTTCAGATGGAGCTTCTGAAGATATATCTGACAAGTGTAAAGAAGTGAAGCATACTGCTTGTCTTTTTACGTTCCGCCATATCTTCCTCAAACTTCCTCCTCCGCAAGTAACGTTGCATTCTTTTCTCTCTGGCCTTTTCACGCATTTCCTGAAAATTTGTTGGTTTCGGATCTGAACTATCTTCATAGACAACCTTCTCCAAAGTTTCTTTGCACTTATGAAAATTTTCAACAACAACTCCCACAAACATATTGAGAACAAAGAATCCGACAAGCAGCAGAAAGCTGATGAAATATATCATTCTCCATTCGTTATAGTTTTCAATTGGCTGTAAAACGTTCCTCAGATGTTCTCAAAAAACTTTTTGAAACATACTTGCATATCCACTCCAACAGCATCTATTCCTTGATACATAATTGAAACCCAACCATCTTTACTTGATAATACAAAAAGTGACATGAGAGCCTATGTGATAAAATAATAGAAAGCTTTGTTTTTTTGAAATATACCTGTCCAAGATTATCAAAATTATATCTATGGTTAATCCATTTGTTCCGATGATCACTCAAACATCCGGCTTTGGTTGTGATGTTAAGTATTTCAGGACCAACACAATGAAACATTGTACCCTGGAATATTGTAAGGAATCGTATGTTGCATTGTGTCAGCAGACCTTGAATAGCTGAACTCCGAGAATCCCGAATATTATGAAAAAGGTACAGCAAATCAATACGATATTTCCAATAGGTTTTAAGCTGAATCAATTTCTTATTTCAAACTTTTTTGAATCATTACCTGGATATTAATGTCATAACAACTAGCTTCACTCCCGGGGCACGGTTAATTACTCGTAGAGGACGAAGAGCTCGCAGTAGACGTAAAACGCGAATCACTCCCAAAATTTTTGGAGAATCTTAAAATGATAACGGTTTTCAATTCAAGACGTTAAAAGATGGAAACAAACCTCCAGCGACAACAACTTCGATGAAAGCATTTATTAAAGATATAATGACCAGAATCCCATCCAATACATTCCACCCGTCTTTGAAATAGGCTGATTTCCCAATAAAGCACCCGTTTGCTATTATCTGAAATAAAAATGTTAATTTATTCCATTTTAACTAAATCTCACTTTTAAAAACATCTCTGTTGAGAATATAGCTGTGAACATATACGATGAGAATATTAAGAATTTCCTTTCAAAACTATCTGGAGGTATAGATGGTCTTTCCATCGCTAATGTTATACAGTTCATTCCAATGAACATTAAAATGAAGTAGTCGAACCAGCGGTTCTGAGTCAAGTTGAAACACCTTAAACAAATTTGTATTTTCCTTTCTAAACTACCTATCCCCCTTCATGATTACCAATCCTGACCTGTTAGTTCCTTCAATAAAATTTTAAACTACCCAAATAGATCTGTTTGATGTCTTCATAAGTGTGTGATTCTAATTCATTTAGTATCTTCTTAATGTTTTGTACAGATCTCATCTCCTTTCCTTTTTCGTGGATCATCTACTGATGCTTATGCAGTCCTTATTCTAGATAATTTTATCCTTCAACCTCTCTTACCCCTATTAACCTTTTTTAAAACGCCTTTTGGATAACTTTGAGTTTGATTGAGACTACTCACCAAGTTCGAAGTAAATTTTGCTTTGAAAAACAAAACAAAGAGTATTCTTTGCGTCTTCCAACCCAGGATTGTGAAAAATTCTTGTGTACCATATCGGATGAGTTTGCTTTACAGTATTCTAATGATTGAACCAGAGCAGCTTCTCTCGTGATCTGAAAGTAAAACTTTCGATGGAAAATGTTTTATAAGGTTCACTTCAGTAACTGCTTGTATGTCGGGATGAAACGAATAGCTGGAGGAATGATCATGATATCCATTCCAACTTCGAATCCTACGCTTACGTGATTCGTTTTTTGGAACAACTTCCTTCCCAATCAATGACATTCGTTTTCGTTCACTGAAAACAATGTTATTGCTTGATTATCATTGCGTTTTTCCTCACATGGTAACGTAACAACGTTCCGAAATATTTTGAACGTTTGATAGTTCATTCCGTTCTTCCATCGAAACATCAGCGTAATGAATATCTTTAGCAGAGAAATAATCATTTCTTTCACATTCGGATAGACATAAGCGTTGAGTTTCTTCTCCCAGATTATTCGGATTGGTTTCAGTTGAGTTTTCATTCTCATTCGTCCCATCAATAGCACTGTTCTCTGGATTAAAGGCAGTATCATTTTCCTTGAAAAAAAATATTAAATTATTGAGAAGTGAGAATATATCATACCAACTGTCTCTTCTCTTCCACTTTGCTTTCTTGGAAACCTTCCACAAGAATAGCAACCAACAAATTGAACAGAACGTAATTACCAAATGTCATCAGGGTAACAAAATAGAGAGCAGCCCATGGATTTGTTTGAGCCATTCCATTAAACAAAACCATATTCCAATCTTCCTGTGTTAGAATCTGAAAAAAAAAATATTGAATAGTTCAGCCAGCATTTGAATTACTTGAAATACAGTTATCAATGCCCATAACAAGGTATCGAAATTCTTTCTCTCACACTTCCTAGCTATTCCATCAAGAGGACGTTCTTCATGCTTGCAGAATTTGCAGCCAAACAAATTCATTCCCAAAATGCTATAAAGATGAATAATAATTTAATGATAGATAGGAAAACTGGCAAAACAAAACTACCTAAAAATGAAAATGAAAAGAACTAATAGCCCGAAGAAAACTGTGACATTATCCATTGTTCTCAACATTACAACTAATTGATATCTCAAAGCTGGCATGAATCGAACAAGTTTCAAGATACGCAAAAGACGGAATGTTCGTAGAACTGACAGTCCCCCTTTACCCTCTTGAAACAATTCTAGGACGCTAAAATATTGATTATGTGTGATCTATTATCGATTTTTGAGATCAACCTCAATACTACAATACTACCATCGAAGAGATTAAAACCATCACCAAGATAACAAAATAAACCGTCTGCCACAATTTTGAGAACCATTTCGAATGCAAATAGGCCGGTAAAAAACAGGTTTGAATATTCCAAAATAGTAGTTAACAGTTCCGGCTGTTGATAATTATCTTTGGTCACAAATTTATAAAATGATTGGCAAACCTGTTGATGATACTCAACACCCATAGATAACGTGTTAACCAAAATGGCGACCAGTATGCCTCTTGTGAAATGATCACATATGACGAAACTCTTGATTTTTTGTCGTAACTCACTCCAACTGGAAAGCTTCTCTGTGTTCTTCAAATACAATCAATGGTTGTTTCGAGTGTAGTTCAATCAGCCTCATTTACCTCTTTTCCTTCTTTTAGTTCTCTTTCATCAAAGTTGTCATCTGATAATATATTATATTGTAGTTTAACCTATTTGATCTTAATATATCTTACCGATCAGACTAATTCTGTGATCTTCTTGTTTTAAAGTTTGTGCTGTTCGTAATTCGACAACGCTCTCTAAAAATTACTTGAAAACTGATAGATTTCTGCATGGCGTGCCTGAATTGTCAGCTAATGGTTCTTCAATCTCACAAATCTCATCAGGTTTACGTTTTGATGATGCTCTAGAGGATTCTTTCCGTCGTTGATAAAACTACAATATTATTTATATTACAATGATGTCTATCAAAAACATACTTTGATGATCTCTTTTTTACTTGTTTGATAGTATTGTTGGATCATTTTGATGATTGCCGCATAGATACTCTCATTGCTATCGCTTGGCGAATAAAGTTCTTCATTATTACCACCTAATGCTTCTGAATGCAGTAATGAGAACTTTGAAATAGTTAGAGATATACCATTTGACATTTGTTTTTGTAACGCTCGTCTTTCCTGGAGCATTCGTTCTGTCTCCCTTCTTTTTGTTTCAGCGAATTGAGTTGCTATTACAACAAGACATAAATTGATCATAAAGAATGCTCCGATCAGAAAAAAAGGAAAATAATTGATATAAATATAGATGTAGTTTACCACTATCAGAAGTACGAAGTAGATCCAATTCCAGAAAGAATGAGCATCTTGAACGTAGTACATGATATCTGTCCATCCTTCCAATGAGATAACCAGAAATATGGCTACCCAAGCAAAGCCAATGTTATCAAAACTAACAGATCCTTGAAATGGATTTCTCTGCATTGCCTGTAAAAAAACAACTTCAAGTTCCTCAGTATTTCAATTCAGTTTCTCCCCTTCTTTTACTTCAAGACTCTTTAATAAGATGGGAGTCATGTTCTCTCCTTTTTTTTTAATGTTAATATTCTCTCATATTTTTCCCCAAGCAGCAGTAGTAGTAACATTCTCGCATGTTTGAGAAGCCTATCTGTTTAGTTATTCTTTCTGAGTTTTAATATTCTTTACGCTCATAAAATGTTGGAGAAGAGTCCCTATTTAATATAAATGGTTCAAGTACCTGGCATTCGTTGTAATAAATGTTCCAATTAATACAATTTTCTTCGTTCACCAAAGCAAACTGTTCAATAGTTAAATTACATCTAAACATTTGAAATTCCATCAAAATGATGATTATATTGCTTACTTTCTCCCATTTATAGCAAATGGAGGTAAATTGGAACAAGTATGAAGACCATTAGCATCTTCTTGACTACAGATGTACTCAAGCGTTGTATCTTCGGGAATGTAATATCTTGAGTAGTAAATATTGTTTTCATGATTGGAAAATTTTCACCTCGTCAGCTTGACGTCATTGAATAAAGCTATTTGTTGATCTGTCATAGTTGTCGGCAAATTGATTGCGCATCGATTTCTGAAAAATGAATTCAAGTACATAATGTCATTTTGTGTTCATCAAACGTCACCTTAATAATCCTGCCCACAGCTGCACGCCAACAATTCCAAATATGAAGAAAACAAAAAAACAAAGTAATAATACATTTCCAAGCATTGGAAGAGTGTCAAGGAGAAGATTGACTATTAAATAAACATCGTCGAAGAATGACTTGTTATTTTTTACCTAATATGCGCATTGATGGAATACGATTGACTGCTTTCAATGGTCTCAATACTCGAACCGTCCTTATGGCAGTCAAGTTTATATTTCCTCCTAGATATTCTTGTAAAAAAATTTCCATAATTCTGAAAGAAGGAAGTAATCAAAACATGTTAACATTCTCTTGAATATGATCTCACCCAGCTGTAACAATGAAACAATCCAATCGATTCCACGTGTCTGAAAGATAGCCTGATGGACCGCCAACTCCAAGAGCTATTATTTTTATGAACTGAATGATCTTATGTATTGAGAAGATAAAAAATTCAGACCATTTCAACTACAAAATAAAGAAATATTAAATGATCAATAATGGTTAGAATCTGGCATCTTAACGTTACACAGTCTACACCATCCTCACACGGTCGATACATTCCTAAGAAAGATTAAAATTTTAGTTTTTTTTTAATGAAAAAAATATACAAAGTTTGATAGCTTATATGAGAAGATGTTTTGCAGAATATTATATAAAAATATCTTTTAAACTCAATTTTTACCTAAAGTGATGCAGTTTATAAGAATAACAGACATAGTTATCCGATCAAACCATGGGCTCATCACTATTGATAAACACCATTTCCTTGGAAAACTTGTTTGTTTTAAACAGAAAAAGGTAGTCTGTTTTATTCTGAAACAAAGTAAAAATCAATAAAGAAGACATCTTGTTTTGATAAATTAACCCTCCAAATGGGGAATCTGAGCTATCTTCATCGTTATCATCAAAATCCGTTCTGATATCATCTGGCATTTCAAACGTTTTCTCTTTATTCGAAAACGATGAGTCAAGAGATGTTTTCTGAAACCAATGATTACATATGATATAGATTGTATGGTTTATGTTTTTGATAAGGGATAGGAGTGAGGTTTGGGATCCTGAGGGAAGAACAGAGAATGAAAAGAATGAAAAAACGATAGTGCAAGTAGACTTGGAAATGAAAGACTGGAGGGAGGGCAATATTGCGGGAGACATAAAATAAAATAATTTCGTTCTTCAATAGATCGAATATGCTGAGAAACAAAAAATTGATGTTGTTAGGAAACCGCTTACTTCTGCCTGTTCAGTTTTGCGACGCACATGAGAGAGACGTCGATGATTGACAGAGGTTCTCCTTCCCAATGTTGTCCTAAAAGCTTCGCAATTAAGGTTGAAATATTTTTTCTTAGCACAACTAAAATTCGTAAGCATTCTACTGGTTTCCGGACATTCTCTCTCTCTCTCTCTCTCTCTCTCTCTCTCTCTCTTTCTCTCTCTTTCTTTTTCTCTTTCTT